ACTTATCACTAACTGGCTAGCTGGCAAGCCATACTCTCTCTTTGATATATAGCATTTTCCTTACACTCTTGAAGGACTAGCCTACTTCCCAGGCCCTTTCGGGTCTATAATTTGGGAAATTTTGAGGGGGAGCATCATACATAAAGGGAGCATTAGTTTTCAGAAGGTACATGAAGTCACCCAGTAGGGTGCAACCTAATGAGAGTCAGTAGTGCCCTAAAAGAACTGATAACAAAAGAAAGAGCAAAACAGAGTTCTCACACAGGAAAGTCTCATTATTCCAGTTGTTGACAAGGTTATTTTTCTGACCAGACTTAAGTCCCTTAAGGGGAAGGAACAAATCAGACTTGTTTCTTGTTCCCAAAGAACCATTATTGCTTGATGCATGAAGCTACTCCAGTTAATTGGAGAAGTTTGAATGAAATGCCCCCAAAATAGAAACTATATTGCATGACAGAAATCCAGAAACAAGGGTTCTAAGAAGCAAATTAATGAATAAATAAATAAATAAATAAATAAATATCCTTTAGAACATTTAAACTCTTTTTTGTAATAAAATCCAGATTTGGTTGCCTTTGCAACGAGAGCCAATCTTATGACACAGGTGTGGTGAAAAAGAAAAGAGGTTTATTTGAGTGCTGGCATCCTGAGAAAATGGGGGACTTTTCTCAGTCCTCAAAAACCATCTTGAGATCTCAGTGCTGACAGAGGTCTTATAAGGGGGACAGGGACTGTACAACAAACAGATCAGAGGGAGGGGAATGGAAAGTGATGCTTCTCCTAAGAAGGGGGAGCATAGGAAAGGGCGGGGCTTCTTCCCTTATTGGCAGAGTTCTCTCCAAACTGGAATTTGCAGTTTTACTGAGGACACCTGTGGCCCCAAGCATAGTTCTCTAAACTGCAAAAAAAGGCTAAATAGGGAATGACAATACAGGGCTTTATTTACACACTTTAAGAAAACATGGTGCTGGCTGCAGGCCTTGAGAAAAGGCAAAATAGAACACAGCATTTATCACTTAATTGCAATGTTAATTTATGGTTACCCTTTGACATGTAAAAAATTCAAAGTTCATTTACCTTTTAAAAACATAACTATTGTGTGAAGACATATATGTTTTGCTAAGAAATTACCACAAAATCTTGCACAAAAAAAAAATGCTTACAAACATTTTCTGATGTCTAGTGACTAAGAATGGGGCAGAAATTGTCCCCCACTAAGTCTAGGTCAGTGGTCGGCAAACTCATTAGTCAGCAGAGCCAAATATCAACAGTACAATGATTGAAATTTCTTTTGACAGCCAAATTTTTTAAACAAACTATTTAGGCAGGTACTTTGTTATTAACTTAATTAGGGTACTCCTAAGCTGGCCTTTGCTGAAAACGTCCTCAATCTGATGGAGGCATGTGGCTTGCAAGCACTGGAGGATATTTACTTTAGCAGCATTCCTGACCTCTACCGCTGTTTGCCGCCCACTGGTCTAGGCAATTGAATTCTTGCCTGAGCACACCTACCAGTTCCACATTGTAACAACTGAATAGCACACATAGCTTTTATAAAATGGCATTCTTCAGATAAGTGGTGGCCTTTTGAATAGGCATACACTTGATGGCCTGGGCAATGAACAGGAAGATTTGGACCTCTTGATTTGCATGATTTTGTGGGATTTTCTGGGTCAAGTGAACAGCAAACCATTTTCAGATGTCACCCCTGGTTGCTTTCGGAAAGAGTAAACCTTTGCTTTTTAATGACTCCTGTGCCTTTGTACTAAAACACTGATAAATCCTGCCGCAGACCTTGGCTGGAATTTCCCAGTCCTTATGTGAGGAGCTGTCTTTGGCTGCTCCCATCCATGTGCTACAGCTTGGAACAGAGCAGTGGTGCTCAGCCAGAGCTGATGTTGCTCCTGATTTATTTTGGGTGGTCATGACAGGAGAGAGGGACAGGGCGCTATGCTAATGGCATCTCGTGGGTAGAGGTCAGGGATGCTGCTAAAGTAAATATCCTCCAATGCTCAGGACTGCCCCCCACAGCAAAGAATTATCCAGTCAGTGGTGCAGAGAAACCTTAGAAAAGGACTACAGCTGTCACACTCGTTTGGCTGGCCCAGAAAAATGAATTTCTCACATTTTGCAAGAAACCAGAGCATGCAGTCACATATACACACTCACATAGTGTAAGTGTAACTAAATTAAAATTTCATTTAGTAAGTATGTAGACTTACTACATTTGGCACACTGATATTTTTCTATTATATTTCAAATAGAAAATGCTAGTCAGAACCCACTGTTCTGATTTCACAGCACACTGAGGGATCACAATCCATGGTTTATAAAATACTGTTTTAGAGAAGCTCCAAGACTTTGGTGTCCAACATAAGTGTTTTGTACGTGTGTTCAAATGATAGGTTTACCACTTATTTTAGGTCACTTGCTTAACCTCTATAGCCATCTGAACCCCTAACTATAAAATTAGAATAATAACAAGATCTACCTCAAGTCATTTTTACCAAGATTAAACAAGGATAAACATTAGAAAATGTCCATTATGTGGTAGACACTAAACATGTTAGTTCCTTTCTATGTACTATAAAGATAATCACTAACATCCCTTTTTCTAAATAGAAAATAAAATTCATACTGCAGTGGAAAAAGTATAGAATTCCAGTAGATAATAGAAATGAACCCCTTCCTGTGTGGAGAGAACTTAGACCAGGACTAAGCCCCACTACACACATTTGCACAAGGGCAGCATGACAGCCATAGAGCAGATGACTAACTCTACTCCCTTCTCCTCCTCCCTGTGGTTAAGTCCTCTGGTTTCAAAGTCTCTCACTGGCTTGTTTCACCTGTGTGGGAGCCAGGCTGCTCTGTTTCTATTCTGACTAGAGGCCTGGTGCACGAAATTGGTGCTTGAGGGGTGTATGTCCCTCAGCCCAGTCTTCACCAACTCCAATCTGGGACCCCTAGACAGATGTCTGACTGCCAATTTAGGCACAGTCCTACTGGAAGGATGGAAGGAAGTTGGACATTGGTCTCACAATCCAGGACTGCTGGCTCCTAACTGCTCACCTGCCTGGCTTCCTGATTGCCTCTAACCATTTCTGCCTGTCAGCCTGATCACCCCCTAACCACTCCCATGCCAGCCTGATTGATGCCTAACTGCTCCCTTGCCAGCCTGTTTGCTCTTAACTACCCTCCCCTGTAGGCCTGGTCACCCATAACTGCCCTCCCTTGCAGGCCTGGTCCCCCGCAACTGTCCTTCTCTACAGGCTTGATTGCCCCCAACTGCCCTCCCTTAAAGTTCTGGTCCCTCCCAACTTCCCTCCCCAGCTGGCCATCTTGTGGCAGCCATCTTGTGTCCACATGGGGGCAGCCTTTTTGTGTGTTTGAGTGATAGCAATTTGCATATTACTCTTTTATTAGATAAAATAGAGGCCTGGTACATGGGTGGGTGCCAGCTGGTTTGCCCTGAAGGGTGTCCCGGATCAGGGTGGAGGTTCCCTTGGGGAGGGGGTGGCCTGGTGAGGGGCCTGTGGTGGTTTGCAGGCCAACCATGCTCTTCAGCAACCCAACCAGAGGCCATGGTATCTGGGATTTATTTATCTTCTATAATTGAAACTTTGTAGCCTTGAGTGGGGCCTGGGCTGGCCAGGGTATGCAGAAAGCTTGGCTTCCTCTATCACCGGGAGAGCTCAAGCCTCCTGCTCTCTCCATGGCTGCAATCATCTTGTTTGCACACTTGCTGCTGATTGGCTGGTGAGTGTGGCTTGTGGTTATAGCAGAGGTATGGTCAATTTGCATATCACTCTTTTATTTGATAGAATAGTGAGCACAAATGGCAACCTGAGACTTACCTGGTGCAATTTGACACCAATGGCCACTGTTGGGTAAAGATATGGACAAAGGAAGACCTCATGGGACTCCACCAATTCCACCATTAACAAAGCAGATACTTCACCCTTCTGTCCAAATGTATACCATAAAATACATTTTGATTCTATGGTTTCATTCATTCATTCATTCATTCACTCGCTCATGTTTACAGAAACCAGGAGACTGCATCATGGCCGGGAAGCCCAAGCTTCACTATATGAATGGACGACTTCGAATGGAGCCTATCAGGTGGCTCCTGGCTGCAGCTGGAGTAGAGGTGGGTTCTGAGTTCTGTCATCGTAAGTTGAGACTAAAATTGACTGTATTAGAGTACTTTCTCACATAAGCGATAAAACTTTCATACTGTATGGCCTATGAATGGTTTTGCCTTAAGTAAAAATATTATGCATATTAGGAAAGAATTGGACTATTTGACCAATAAAATTATTAAAAATCCTGCCATTGTAAGAGTACAGAAAAAAATTAAAATAAAATTTTAAATGAAACAACAGAAACAGCTACTAAACATAATTTACTGACCTTATTTTGATTTTAATGAACAGTAAAATATTTATGACACATATACAACTACTGACTGAATATTAGAAGATATTAAAAATCATTGTTAATTTTTACTTGTTATTTTATGTGTGATATTGTGGTTATTTTGATAATAAATATAATGTTTTAGAAATATAAATTAAAGAGTTAAGTACTAAATGGGGTTGTTTCAAATTTTCACAAGATGGGAGTGTGGATGAGCATATATTGGGTCGGCAACTAAGTAATTGCGGGTTTCACACATATATGGCTTCAGTTGAATTTTTAGGTTTGCAGACGTAGTACAAATGTAAAACACATTTTGTTATTTGATAGTTGGCTATTCAGCTGTTAATCAGTAAAAAAAGTTTTTTGATCTGTTTTGTAGTTTTCGTTTGGCGTTCGTTGAAAAATGGAAAATCAAAAGGAACATTTTCGTCATATTTTGCTTTTTTATTTCCGCAAAGGGAAAAACGCATCGCAAGCTCATAAAAAGTTATGTGCTGTTTATGGTGACGAAGCCTTAAAAGAACAGCAGTGTCAAAATTGGTTTGCCAAATTTCGTTCTGGTGATTTTTCACTCAAAGATGAAAAACGCTCTGGTCGTCCAGTTGAAGTTGATGACGCCCTAATCAAAGCAATAATCAATTCGGACTGTCACAGTACAACACGTGAGATTGCAGAGAAGCTTCATGTATCACATACATGCATTGAAAATCACTTAAAACAACTTGGCTATGTTCGAAAACTCGATACATGGGTTCCTCACGAACTGAAAGAATCACAGTTAACGCAACACATTAGCAGCTGCGATTTGCTAAAGAAACGTAATGAAAATGATCCATTTTTAAAACGACTGATAACTGGCGATGAAAAATGGGTTGTTTACAACAATATCAAGCGGAAAAGATCGTGGAGCAGGCCAGGTGAACCAACTCAAACAACATCAAAAGCTGATATTCATCAAAAGAAGGTTTTGTTATCAGTTTGGTGGGATTACAAAGGAATTGTGTACTTTGAACTCTTACCACCCAACCGAACGATCAATTCTGATGTCTACATTGAACAACTAACGAAATTAAACAATGCAGTTGAAGGAAAGCGGCCCGAATTGACAAATCGAAAAGGTGTTGTATTCCATCATGACAATGCAAGGCCACACACATCTTTGGTCACTCGGCAAAAATTAATGGAGCTTGGTTGGGATGTTTTGCCACATCCACCATATAGTCCTGACCTTGCACCATCTGATTACTTTTTGTTTCGATCTTTACAAAACTCCTTGAATTGTAAAAATTTCAATAATGATGATGATGTCAAATCGTACCTGATTCAGTTTTTTGCTAATAAAATCCAGAAGTTTTTTGAACGTGGGATTATGATGCTGCCTGAAAGATGGCAAAAGGTCATTGATCAAAATGGGCAATACATTACAGAATAAAGTTATTTAGTTCCATGAAAAAATTGTCTTTGATTTTCTTTAAAAAATCCGCAATTACGTAGTTGCCGACCCAATAGATGACGTTAAGATTGGCTTGTGTGATAATGATTGTAGCTGGGTGATGATTACAAAAAGGATCTTTGTACTTTCATTTTGTACATGCTAGAAATTTTTTAAATAAAAGGATAAAAACTGTAACATTAGAATGTAATGTAATTAATATGAAGATATAACCACAAAAGTGGAGAGGAGCAGATTATAACAAACTGCCTGCTAAAGACTTAAGGCATGCAATCAGCAATTATTTTGTTGAGCACCTTTAAGTGCCAGGTTCTGTGCTTGGTTATGGGGATACATGGATGAACAAGACAGACAGGTCCGTGCCCTCAGGAAGCTTACATTCCAGTGAAGAGGTGATTAAAAGGAGGCATGGGAGCATCTAGAGGACATCCAAGCATTTGCAACAAGCATGTCAAACTCTTGGCCCACGGGCTACATGTGGCCCACAATGAATATTATTGTGGCCCAGCCAATATAACAGCATGTAAGAAATGTTTTAATAAAATTTCAAAACTTAATTTTTACAATATCCCGTTATACATAATTATTAATAATGAACTACAACATTCACTAATGACTAATTTCCCTTATGTGCCTTACCCGCAGGCACACCATTTCTCTCCAC